AGGCTGGCCTCGAACTCACAGAGATCCGCCTGCCTCTGCCTCCCGAGTGCTGGGATTAAAGGCGTGCGCCACCACCGCCCGGCTCATTTAGATTACCTTTATGTATGTATATATTAATAGGAAGCTACTACTGTATGAGGTTTCCATATGACCCCTCAAATAGCTCTTAGTTTTAGCTTTCCCTCCCATATTCCTTCCCTCTCCTCCTTCCATGTTTGATCATCCAATTCCAACCCCTCCTTCTTGTCCATCTGCAACTATTCTATTTCCATTTCCTAGGGAGACCCATCCCTCTCCCCCAGTCCCTTATTGTCTTCTTAACCTCTGTGGCAGTATGGATTGTAGCTTGCTTATCAGTGACTTAACAGCTAACATCCTCATATAAGTGGGTATGTGTATTTCTCTTTGTGGGTCTGAATGGCCTCACTCAGGATGATTTTTTTTTTCTAGCTCTAGCGTTTCATGATTGCATGTCTTTTAACCATTGAGTAATGTAAATCATACTTTGACCAGGATATCTGCTGCATTTGCAGCCTTCCCACCCTCGTTTCAGTTATCTGAGTTAGCAGTTGACATTTGCATTCTTGTGGTACTTAGATTCAAGTAACTCTTATTTACTTAATGACCACAAAGCTCAGAAGTGGTGGTGTATCAGAGGGTGACCCTGAACTTTGATCCACCTACCTCCACCTCAAGTGCTAGAATCATAGATGTACACCACGTCACCCAGCTTGTCAGAACAATATTCTATCTGTGAAATTATATGGAAAGAAAAAATTTCTAAGGTAAGCATGTTTCCCCATACTTGTAATCCCAACACTTGGGAGGCTGGAGCAAGAGGCTCTTGAGTTTAGAGCCAACATAGGCTGCTTACACAGCAAGACTCTGTCAAACGCATGAAAAGGGGAAAAAAGAACTTTGCCAGGGCTGGAGTAGTGGCTCAGCAGTTAAGAGCATTTGCTGCTCTTGCAGAGCACCAGGTTTGGTGCCCACTGACTACTGTCTGTAACTCCAGTACCTTCTTCTCACCGTCTCACACGGAACACATGCGTATGCGGGCACAGCACGCATGCACATAAACAGAAATCAATCTTTAAATCGAAAACAAGGAAAGAAAGGGTGTTGTAGCACGAATCTTAAAACTTCTTATTCATAAAAACAAACCCAAGGCCAGTTATTGGGGTGAGCACTGGAAGATCAGAGAAGTAGAACAAGCCACAACTTCCTCACCTCGCCAATTCCTCAGCTGATCCTATTTCCTCAGACTGGAAGCTTCTGAGTCCTCATCCAGAATGAATCTCAGCTGAACTGTTTGTTGCTCAAAAGCCTAAAAGCTTAACTAGCCTAGTTCCTGGTTTTCACACCTTATATACCTTTCTGCTTTCTGCCATTACTTCCTGGGATTAAAGGCTCTTGTTACCATGCCTGGCTGTTTCCAGTGTGGCCTTGAACCCACAGAGATCCAGACGGATTTCTGCCTCTGGAATGCTGGGATTAAAGGTGTGAGTGCCACCCTTTTCTGTTCTGTTCTCTGACCCCAGATACGTTTATTAGGGTGCACAGTATTTTGGGGAACACAATACCACCACAGGGTGCTTTTCAGATTTTGCTGTCTTTGTTGTTTTTGCAGAGGACTGTAACATTAACTCCCCTTTGCCCACTTGCCTTACAGTATCTAGCAACACAGAACAGAGTTCTGTGATCTTAAAATACTATCTTCTGTTCTTAGAAAAGTTCCTTGGTTCCTCCTTTCCTGGGTTCCCTTCTTTTTATTCTCTTCTAGATAAGCTCATATTTTCTATTCAAAGTCTCCTTCAAAGATCACCTGTGTGAAATTTTGTCTAGCTCTCTGATTACAATTGTTAGGTATGTGCTCCCACAGTACAAGGTATCATGATAAACCCTAACTTTTGCAATAAATTACCTGTTTATCATAATACTAAGAATTCTTTGAAAATTTTTTTTTATTATTCATGTTTTATTTGCTTTGGGTTTGTTTTTTCATTTGTTTGGTGTGTGTGTGTGTGTGTGTGTGTGTGTGTGTGTGATTGTGGCTATGGCTATGGCTGTGTGTTTTATCAAACCTAGAGCTTTATACATTCTAGGCAAACATTCTACCTACTGGGTTATATCTCAGACTTTGTTGAAGGAACCTGATTAACTTTGAACATCTTAATTGGCTCAGTATCCATCATGCCTGGCTCTTTACCAGAAACAAATTAAAATTTTAACTGAGTACTAATTATGGAGAGGAAAGTCAAAACGAGAGACAGGATTGAAATTGGTAATCAAGCAAATATCCAAACCATTCTGAAAGCTAACCCAGGAAGAATTGAGTTCAGTGGGTGTGGTGGTGCATGGATTGATGCTAGAGCACTTGGAAGAGAAAGCAGGAGGGGCATGAGTTTGAATCTGCTCTGGGTTCCATAAGACATTGTCTCACTTCCCACCTACTGCCACATCCTCCAGAAGCTCAATTTGAGACAGATTAGAAAGACAAGAAAATAAACTTGAACCCATCAAATTACATACATTAAATACCTTTTGTGTTTTTCATGTATCAGTTGTACTCAGTAAAGCTGTTAAAAGAGAACTTCATGGAATAGGAGTTTTCTAAAGAAAAACATGATAAATTCTTGGTTGCAGTACTAACTATGCTTATCTTGTGTCTTGGGAAGTTTGATTTGTACTTCTTAAGCACATCTGAGCAAAAAGTGGCCACCTTTTAATGGACTCCGTAAGTCCTTTATCCAAGATGTTTCTTGTGGATTGAAATATGTCTTGACTATGCACCAAGTTTCATTTGTATATATTCTTAGAATCTTATTTTTCTTTTAAAGTGTTAATGGCCAACAGTCTACAGAAACTGAATCTTTAGTGGATACAGTATCCATAATAAGGTAAAGTAAATGATATTTTTTTGTCCCTAAAATCATTGATGAAGCAATTCATGTAGATTTAAATATGTTATAATTGGCATAATTAAATACAGCTCAGAGTTCTCTTTAACTCAACAGATATTCAAGACCCTGAAATGTCTTAGAATTTCTAGCTATAAAGACTTTGATATGGAATCTAGGGTTGTTTTGCATAAGTTTCCAATAGATTGTTAGACTAACAGATAGGGAGCATGTGAGCTTATTCTGGTATTCTATCATCATAAGGCTCACAGGAAAGGACTAGAAAGTACATTTTCTCATGTGTGTCCATATTCCAATTATATAAAATTATTTGAAAAACTCTTTCTGGTCTACTATAAATGCTGTGCGAGACAATCTAAAATATTCAAAGAGCAGAAAGTCTGTGTAAATGATTTCAGAAATATCAGTTGGGTCGCTGAGTGAATATATGGGAGGAGTTGGCTAACTTAGTGTGGAAAGGATTGGTGACTGGGATTTAAGAATCCAAGATGTTATATGATTTGTCCATAAAAACACTGGATTAGATTATATATATCTGGGGAGGAGAGGGAACAGGTTCTCAGTGTGCAGCCCGGGCTAGTCTGGAGCTTAGTGTAAAGTCTATGCTGGCTTCAAATTTGCATTGATCATCCTGCCTCAGCCTCTTAGTGCTAATAAGATTACAGGCATACACCATCATGCTGACTTGAATTAGTCTTTTTTTTGTTTGTTTGTTTTTTGAGACAGGGTTTCTCTGTGTAGCTTTGGTGCCTGTCCTGGAACTTGCTTTGTAGACCAAGCTGGCCTCCAACTCACAGAGATCCTCCTGCCTCTGCCTCCTGAGTGCTAGGTTGAAGGCGTGAGCCACCACCACCTGGCTTTGAAATAATTCTTAATCACACCTCTTAGGTCTAAGAGAGATATATAAATGATGGGAAGTTCTTGAAAGGATGGTGACTGGCAATGAAGAATGATAGCAGGTGGTATCTGTAGCATCCCTGAGTGGCTGAGATGTCTGTGGAAGCAGGAGTAACATTCATGAGGAAATGAAAACTATTGGAGCTGGAGAGAGAGCTCAGTGCTGGAGCCCTTGCTTAGCGTATGTAAGGACCTCGATGCAGTCCCCTGCGCTGTAAAAACGGTGTGAAGGCCCATTGTTGGAACCCTGTGTCTTCTAGGAGGTTGAAGAGTAAGCTTTTCTCTTCATGAAAAGGTCAAAAGGAGAAAACTATTGTCCCAAGGTGGAGCAGGGATGGGGGAGGGGGCCAGACTTAGAGGTGAAGAGTTTGAGAAGAGCATTCTAGAGAATACAGTAGAATAGAACATTCAGGAGAAAGGAAAGGGGAGAAAGGATCTGCGCATTGCAGAGTGTTTTCGTGGATAAAAGTATAGCTAAAATGTCTACATTTTAGGTGGGGCTAACATACCTATAAGGTTCAGACACACTGCTTTTTAGGTTCTAAGTTGCTTCTATATAAAATAAGAATAATGCTGTCTTTGCAAGGCTGTTAAAAAAAATATGCCACATACATTATTTCCAGTATAAACTTGCCTTAAAAAAAAAGTCGCCGGGCGGTGGTGGCGCACGCCTTTAATCCCAGCACTCGGGAGGCAGAACCAGGCGGATCTCTGTGAGTTCGAGGCCAGCCTGGGCTACCAAGTGAGCTCCAGGAAAAGGCGCAAAGCTACACAGAGAAACCCTGTCTCGAAAACCAAAAAAAAAAAAAGTCTTGGGAGATGAAAAGTATGTGATCTACCATCAAATGAAAGAATTTTGAAAATTCTGCAGAAAATGATTTTAGAAGCCAAAGGAGAGAAGGAAAATAAATTCTTTGCAGTTTGAGGAAGGTTTGGGAGTTCTTTTGTTTTTGTCTTGTTTTTCATCCTCAATCTGTTTGGATAACTGATAGAATCTTGATTTCTGAGTAGATGAACCATAAAAAGGTGGAATAAAGGGAAATTTGACGATAGAAACATTAAAACTTAACATGGGTGATAGGTAAGAAGAGCACCAAGAGAAGCGGGCCGGTGCAGACGATCCTGTAGCAAAGGTGACAAGTCATTCCCTTCCGTGCCTTCACTAGACTCTGGAACTAATCACTAACTAACTCTCTTGTTTTTATTTAGGTCTCACAAGAACGTCATATCTAAATTGAAACATGAAAGCAGTCAACCAGATTTTAATAAGAAAGAAGCGAGAAGGGGGAATCTTCAAAGTGAGTACTGTTACTGTAGTTTTAGAAGTAGAGACAAGTGCTGTAGCTGTTCACCTTACCACCACAGCACAAAAGGCCCCTCAGAAGACCAAAAGCCGACTTTAGAAATTGAGCTCTTGTTGATGGTGTAGTCTGAGTTATTTGGCTATGTGTGGGAGTAGCATTGGTTTTCTGCTTAACTGTATTCAGCAACTTCAGACTTTTTTGAGCTATGAATGGAATCAAAGCTCATTATTAACATTGAATAAGTGAATTTGGAATCTGTACTTCAAGGGAAAATACTAACATTTTTATCAACTAATCAGTACACAGTCTTGTTTTATGTTTGTTCTATTTAAAGACACTGTGGTGTTGGCTCATTAATATTGAATCATTGCCAGCTGCACTATAATACATGCCTGAATAAAATATATGCCACTCTTCCATGTTGCCCTCTGACCTCCACAGATACACATGCCCATGCCCACTCATAAATAAATGATTATAATTTTTTAAGTTTGAATAAAGAATATGAAGTGCTTTGATAGTTGGCTCTATTTGTGTCTGTAAGTATAAATTAAGCTTTAGAGTGCAGAATGATTTAAGCAAAAGTCTCTCCCCAAAAGCCAATCTTCTGTTTTTCTTAGTTAGCTATTTTTAGTTGGTTTGGAGTCAAACTAACAAAATTGGAGTGATTTTGTTCAGTTTAGAATCTAGCAGTGTAGTCTAGCCCTATCTCAAACTCATGATCCTCTTACTTGACCTCCAGAGTTTACTTGTGTGGAACACCATGCCTAGTTTTTATGTTTTATGTAATCAGGGTTTGTAGCATTGTTTTCTTGATACAATCCCTATGAAATTCTACCTTACTGGTTTAAATTTATTCTCCATGAATCCTTTAATTAGGATTCCTTTAATTTGCATCTTCATTTTATTTCCTATTTGTCTAAATGTTTTTTAAGTCTGTAGTTTCTAAATTCTTACATGCTGAAGACTATCTAGTGTCCTTTGTGTATCTTTAGAACTTTTTGTCTAAGTATATAATACTCATTAGAAATACTTTCTGGCCACAGCTTAGCAAACAGATTGATTTTGAGTTGCTACAGTGTCGAAGTCTGACATTAACATGACTTCTCCCACCTTTGTGTGTGAGTTACTTTTCTCTCTTCCCTGACCAGGTTTTCCTAGGACATGTGCTGAGTGCCAGACATCCCTCCTTAATTACTGCTTTGGTTTTGGATTTCCATTTAATTAAAGTGATTTTTCACTTTGAACTTGCTTATTTAATCTCCAGATAACTGAAGGATGTTCTAAATAGTTTTCTAATCTCCAAATAATTGAAGGATATTCTAAATATCATTCTGTTATTGAGTTCATGTTTAATTCTATTGTGGTCTGAGAATAGTTTGTAGTAGACAAAAAGTACCTATATCCTAAGCTGGCCATGAACCTGCAGTAGTCAGTCCTCTGCTGTGGCCTCCCAAGTGCCAGTTGTCAGAGGACAACTTTCAGGAGGTGATTGTCTCCTTCCCCCAGGGATAGAACTTGGATAACCAGACTGTACACTAAGAACATTATTGGCTGAATCCTGTTACCAGTCCCTTAAAGGATTTTGTTTCTCTATGGTGCATCCTACTGTTAGTTTCTCTTGGTGATTGTTGTTGATGTATATCTGAGAAGAGAGAACAATATGTATTCTGTTATTAAATATCATAAAAAGACTTCAGTGATCCTATAGCAAAAGTACTTTTCCTTCTATACGCAGGTGATTAGATATGTTCCTGGAGGTGAGAGGACACTTCTGTGTTAGTCAAATGGATTCTTAGAATTAGGTTGCTTCCAGGTTTGAAGGAAAAAGAATTCAACATATAGAGCTCATTTTCTTACAGTAGCTAAAGGAAACAGGAATTTCATGGTAACCTGTTGGAAAGTCCACCCTTTCTTCTAATGTGAAGCAATATTAATGTTGGTGTTTTTATTCACAGGTGAAATAATGACAGAAGAAAATAGAAGAACCATTAGAAGCAATAGATTATGTAGTTCAAAGAATCAGCCAGACATTAATGAAAAACACAAGCGTAAGAAAAAACAGGTATTTTTCACTATATTTGAATAATACTTATAAATATTTAAGTATTTATACTCGTTTTCCTAAAAGGTCTAACTTTAAGGTTCTTACGTATTTGAAAATTACACACAAAGTAGAAAATACACCATTTGTATCAGGGGCGTTTTGTTTTGTTTTGTTTTGTTTTAAGACAGGGTTTCTCTGTGTAGCCCTGGTTGCCCTGGAACTCACCCTGTAGAGATCCTCCTGCCTCTGCCTCCCAAGTGCTGGGATTAAAGGTGTGTGCCACCATTGTCTGGCCCCTCAATCTTGATTTAATTTTGGTGTGTGGTATCTATCAAGAAGTTTGTCCATTTCTTTTAGATTTTCCAAATTTGTGAATTCCAGGTTTTTGAAGTGTGACCTAATGATTTTCGAATTTCCTTGTTGTCTTTTGTTAAGTCCCCCTTTTCATTTCTGATGTTGTTAATTTAGATATTTTCCATCTGCTTTTTAGTTAGCTTGTCTATCTTGTTGATTTTCTCAAAGAACTCTTTGTTTCATTGATTCTTTGTATTGTTCTCTTTATTTCTACTTTATTGATTTCGGCCCTCAGTTTCATTTTTTCATTCTGCTCCTCTTGTGTGAGTTTGCTTCTTTTCGTTCTAGAGCTTTCAGGTGTGCTCTTAAATAGCTCGTATGAGATTTCTCCAAATTCTTTATGCAGGCACTTACTGATGTGAACTTTCCTCTTAGAAAAGGGAAACTTGCCTTTTAGACAGTCCTTTCACGCTGTTCCATAAGTTTGGGTGGGTTGTGCCTTCATTTCACTGAATTCTAGGGAGTCTCCAATTTCCGTGTGTTTTTAGGCTTTCTATAGTTTGTGTTGTTGTTGAATTCTTTTTTTTTTTTTTTTTTTTTGAGGGGTTGGGGTTCGAGACAGGGTTTCTCTGTGTAGCTTTGCGCTTTTCCTGTAACTCACTCTGTAGCCCAGGCTGGCCTCGAACTCACAGAGATCCGCCTGCCTCTGCCTTCGAGCGCTGGGATTAAAGGTGTGCACCACCCCTGGCTTGTTGTTGAATTCTAACCCATAGTGATCCAATAAGATACAGGGGGTTATTTCAGTTTTTTGTACCTGTTGAGACTTGCTTTCTGACAGAGTGTGTGGTCAGTTTTGGAGAAGATTCCATGAGGTACTGAGAAGAATACTCTTTGGTGTTTGAGTGAAATGTTCTGTAGATATCTGTTAGGTCCATTTGAGTCATAATGTCTGTTATTTCTCTGTTTAGTTTCTGTCTGAACAACCTGTCCATTGGTGAGAGTGGAATGTTGGATGTCTCCCACTATTAATGTGTGGAGTTCAATATGTAAATTAAGCTTTAGTAATGTTTCTTTTACAAATGTAGGTACTCCAAAAATACATTTGGGGCATAAGTATTCAGATTTTTCCTTTGATGAGTATGAAATGTCCTTCTACATCTCTTTTGATTAATTTTTGTTTGAAGTCTATTTTTTCAGATACTAGGATAGCTACACCAGCTTGCTTCTTAGGTCTGTTTGAGTGGAAAATCTTTTTCCAACTCTTTACTTTGAGGTAGTGTCTATCTTTGATACATTTTCTTGTATGCAACAGAAGGATGGATACTGTTTTTATATCTAGTCTGTTAGCCTGTATCTTTTTATTGGCCAATTGAGTCCACTGATACTGAGAGATGTTAATGATCAGTGATTGTTAATTCCTATTGGTGGTGGTGCTGGTGTGTGTGTGTGTGTGTGTGTGTGTGTGTGTGTGTGTGTGTGTGTGTGTGTGTTTCCCTTCTTTGGGTTTTGCTGGTGTTGGATTATCTATTGCTGTGTTTTCGTAGGTGTAACTAACTTCCTTGAGTTGGAGTCTTTCTTCCAGTACCTTTTGTAGGTCTGGATTTGTGAATAGATACTGTTTAAATTTGACTTTGTCATATAATATCCTATTTTCTCCCATCTATGGTGACTGAAAGTTTGGCTGGATATAGTAGTCTGGGCTGGCATTCTCCATCTATGGTGATTGAAAGTTTGGCTGGATATAGTAGTCTGAGCTGGCATCCGTGGCCTCTTAGGGTCTGTAAGACATCTGTCCAGACTCTTCTGGTGTTTCGAGTCTCCATTGAGAAGTTGGGTGTAATTCTGATAGGTCTGCCTTTATATGCTAATTGACCTTTTTCCTTTGCAGCTCTTAATATTCTTTCTTTATTCTATATTAGTATTTTGATTATTATGTAGTGAGGCGACTTTTTTCTGGTCCAGTCTATTTGGTGTTCTGTAAGATTCTTGTACTTGTATAGACATGTTCTTTAGGTTGAGAAAATTTTCTTCTATGATATTATTGAATGTATTTTCTGGGTTTTTGAGCTGGGATTCTCCTTCTTCCATTCCTATTATTCTTAGGTTTTGTCTTTTCATAGTGTCCCAGATTTCCTGGATATTTTGTGTTGGGATTTTTTTTTAGATTTAATAGTTTCTTTGACCAATGAATCTATTTCCTCTATCGTATCTTCAGTGCCTGAGATTATCTGTTTCATCTCTTGTATTCTGTTGGTGATGCTTGCGTTTATAGTTCCTGTTCGCTTGCCCAGATTTTCCATTTCCAGAATTCCATCAGTTTGTGTTTTCATTATTGCTTTCATTTCCATTTTCAGGTCTTAAACCATTTCCTTCACCTGTTTTGTTGTTGTTTGCTTGTTTGTTTGTTTTTTTCTTGGCTTTCTTGGCATTCTTTAAGGGATTTATTGATTTCCTTCAATTTTTTTTTGTCTTTTTCTCAATTTCTTTAAGGTTTTTTTTTTTTTTTTTTTTTTCCATATCCCCTATAGGGACCCCTGTCTTCATAAAGTTATTTTTAAGTTTGTTTTCTTGTGTCTCAGCTGCATTGGACTGTTCAGGTCTTGCCGTTGTTGTATAGCTGGACTCTGGTGATGCCTATTGCCCTTTCTGTTATTGATTGTGTTCTTACATTGGCATTTAGGCGTCTGGATTTGGGGTGGTTATAGGACTTGGTGTTGATTCCTGCATGCATTTGTCTTTGTTGGATGAGTGGGTTTTTGTTTGTTTGTTTGTTTCTCTTTTCTCTCTGGTCTTCTAATCTAAATGGGCAAGGGTTCTAATGACTAATGAGTCTTCAGGTCTAATAGGGTGTCTCTGTCAGGCTTTTGGGAGCCTTGGGTCCCTGGATCTGACCTGGCCTCTGGTAAAGCCAAAGTCTTCCTTCAAAGTTGTAGGCCACAATATGGAGCTCAGTGGAGAGGGTACAGTATAGTATGGGTTTGTTGGGTGGGCTTAGGGCGTGTTAGTGGGCAGTGGGTGGTGTCTTATCTGGAGGACCCTAGGACCATCCCGGCCTCCTGTAAAGCTGTCAGGGCTATGGACAAAGGGGATGTGTCCCAGGGATCAGGCTCTGGGGAATGTGGCAGCTTGGCTGGGAGGCAGGTCACTCACCTGTTCTTTAGACTGGTGTGGACTGTACCTGGGCATGGTCCAGGAGTCTCTTGGAGTTGTGGGGAAAGGCTGGCCACAGGGAGGATGGTGAGTTGGGAGGGGCTGGGCTGGGAAGTGGGTCTTGGAAAACAGAATCTAGGGGGTGGGTACAGTCCAGCTGGCAGACGGGTCACAGGACACTCACCTGCTCCTCAATTGGGTATTTATTATTTTTAATTTGAAATGTGCTATCATGTAGCTCAGGCTGACCTCAGACTCTTTATGTAGCCAGGGCCACCCTTGAATCCCTGCTTCTCCTCTCTTTACCTCACTAGTACTGGGATTTACAGTCATCCACCACAACTAGCTTTTAGTAATTCCTTTGCTTCTCTTCTGTCTGCCCCTTGACTAGTTCTCTGATGGATATAAGAAGACTAGTTTTCAGGTTGTTCTGGTTTTCCCATTGTGGATAGGATGATAATTTCCAAGTGCTTTGCTTATCAAACTGGAAACCAGAAATCTCTGCCTCATGGATTTGTATTTGAGGATAGAGCACAGGTGTCATTTATAGATAACTATGAGAGTTTTTCTTTTGTCGGGAGAGTATCAACCGTATGCTCTATAAGATATATGGGTATTGATTATGCCACTGTTTACTTTGCCAAAAAAAGTTATGTGGACACTGCCAACATCTGTTTTTATTTTTCAGTTGACCTTGTGATAGAGAACTCTTTTCAAGGGTGGCTGACACACTTCATTTTATATTGTATTGGAGCTTTCAGTTGTTATTTTTTTATTTAAATTACTCAATTTCTAGTTGGATAGCTTTTTTTTCTTATCTGTTAGACAAAAGTCCTTGAGCCTGCCTCATTAAAATTGGTAGATCCTTTTATAAACTTAGTCCATTAAGGAAAAAAGTAAATACCTTTCAGTATATCCTCCACACAGAGATTACATAGTGTGAATTATTATAACAAGCTTTTCTTTTACTATAAATTATGCCATTGTGAAGGACAACGTAGAAGACACAGTCTTCGAGTAGCATACAAACCGGGAAGGAGTTTGGCTATGGTCAGTGCCAGTTCCTCTGGTATTCAGTCATCTGGGGCATAGTTTTCATCTCCTGTCTGTCTTCACGTCACGTTGGTTTTCCTTTTCTTAACACCAGAATTTTCTAATAAGAATTTTTTTTTCAATTGTAGTAAAATATACATAATGGCAAATGTATCCTCTTAAGATTTTTAAGGCTTATCATTTTTATTTATGTATGTTTCTCGGGTAGGGGTATGTGCATGTGAGTAAAGAACTCAACGTGTCTGGTCTCCTGAGCTGGAGCTACAAGCAATTGTGAGCCACCCATCAAAATTCTAGGACCCAAACTCAGATCCTTTGCAAGAACGGAATATGTTCTTAACTACTGAGCTATCTCTTCACCATGTCTTATTCATTTTTAAGTATACAGTTTAGTAGCATTAAGCATATTCATATTTTCATATCATCGCTGCAGTCCACCCATAACTTTAACAAATTCTGGACCCATTAAAACGCTCTTTCTTTCCCCGTTCTCTGCCATGCTTCATAACTGTCTGTCTCTGAGGTTGGCCATTCTAGGTACCTCATATCAGTGAAATCATTCAGTACATGTGTTATTTTTATGTGAGTGTTTACCTGCATGGGTTTATGTGTACCACAGGTGTACCTGGTACCATAGAGGTCAAAAGGGGGCATTGAATCCCCTAGAACTTGACTTGCAGATAGTCAATAATAATAATAATAATGCCGTGTGGATGCTGGGAACTGAACTCAGGTCATCTGGAAGAAGAAGAAGTGATTTTATCACTGAGCCATCTCTCTAGCCCTAGTACTTATCTTTTCATATCTAAATTATTTCACTTAGCATAATATTCTTAAGGCTAAAGCATGTTGCCAGAATTTCCCTTTTAATAATAAATAATATTCCCCATCTACTGTATGCTGAAAATTCTTTCATTCATTGATGGTCCTGGCTTACTTCCTCATTTTAGTGTTGTGGATAGTACAGCAGTGAGCAATAGTGTACAAATAGTGTGTTGGACACTCAAACCCCTCTTTATCACACCAAAAGAAGGAATAATTAGTTGGCCACCTATCCCAAATACTAAATGTTAGTACTTTGTCTATGCAAAGTATTGATGTTATTTAAATTTTTTCAGCATTTTCTCCCAGCCTAAATTGAGTGGTTGTGTTTTTGAAAGTCTATCTTGCAGAAGACTTGTGTGCGTGCGTGCGTGCATGTGTGCGTGCATACCTCCCCCAGCACAGGGAGAGAATGTTCACTGAGTTCATTAGTGAAGTACTAAACAGTCGTGAGTTCTATTTAGAAATGTGGAGTGCTCTGTGAAGGGTTAGATAAAGGCTGCTTGAGCTAGCTCAGGGAGTCGGAAGTTAGACAGGCTGTTACTGTATAGCTGCCCCATCTTAGCTGGCCAAGCTTCGGTAACACTACCTGAAATACTACATGGGTCATGGTAAGATCTTATAAAACCAATAAAACCATATATGTATGTGTGTGTTGATATGTATAAAAGAATATAGGAAAATAATTTTCCTTTTTAAGAAACAGCATTGCTTTGACTTTTAAAAGATGTATTCTCTCTAAAGAATGTTTCTTTGAGTAACTTTTATGTCTTTTCAACAGGCGTGGCTTTGGGAAGAGGACAGATTTTTGAAGTGTGGTGTAAGGAAATATGGAGAGGGAAATTGGGCTAAAATACTATCACATTATAACTTCAACAACCGAACAAGTGTCATGTTAAAAGACAGGTGGAGAACGATGAAGAAACTAAAGCTGATTAGCTGAGACCCTGAAGGCTGAATGGGTTTGTTTCCACTTAACACAGGACAGTTAATACTTGAAGCACTACATTTTATTTAAAACTTTCTGGTGACTGATGTAGCTGCACTTTTTTGTTGAAAGCATTATTTTTTTGTGATAATCTTGTTACATATTGGTACTGTAAAAGTAAAATTATATGCCATCATTTTTTTCTTCAAGAATCTTTATTTTTGTAAAATATAGATATGTTGAACCCTATCATATTCAGTACCCCTTCCCGCATCCTGTTTTAATACATAAGATAAAAAGTATTTACTTACAGCTCTTTCTGTTTGCTCTATTCCATGTCTGTAGACTTACAGAATGCCACATAGAAATTGATATTCTCAAGAATTGAAGGATACTCCTTTGTGATTTTGTTGCTTGAGTTATGGCTAATGTACTACTTACTGAAGATTTTATTGCTATTGTGATAAATGTTCAGAACAATCCAAAGTTCTGACAAGCTTGATTTCTCTCAGTAGTTTCATTTAAAGGAAGTTGGGTTTTCACCAACAATTTATCCTTTAGAATATTTAGTTAAAGAGTAATAATTAGCATTTTGAGTTTTATGTGCTGTATTTAGCTAGTGAATAAAAATCTCAACCTATTGAAATATTTACATTAGAAACAGGGTATTGTGTAATGTCTCTAATTTTCTATCGAAGTGTCATGTTTTATTTTCGTGTTGTTCTTGATTTGATGTTATCCTATTTATCTAATAAACAGAAACATTACTAATTGCTGTGTGCTTCCTGACCCAGTAGCTCCCACCCATGTTTACCCAGTGACCGTGTTTACCCAGGATGCTGCTGATTGGTTCCAAAGCTGGCAGCTTGGATCAAAATAAGCATCTAAGTCAACCTCACTCTAAACATAGTTCATAAATCATCAAATCTAAATTGCTATTATAAAATACCTACTATCTTTGCTTTAAAAAGTCACAAATATGGTGCATCATTAAAATGTACTTACTAAAAGCTTTTATTTTTGAATTTTTAACACTCTTATTTAGTGAGTGCATAAATCTTCATACAATGGCATACATGAGGAAGTCAGTAATAACTTGGAGTGTGATAGTTAGTGTCTTGTCAACTTGACACAAGCTGGAGATACTTGGGAAGAGGAACCTCAACTGAGAAATACCTTCATCCGAATGCCTTAGGCAAGTCTGTAAGGCATTGTCTTCACTGGTGATTGGTATAGGAAGATACAGCTCCCAGGTGGCAGTGCCAGTCCTGGGCAGGTGGTCCTGGATTGTGTGAGAAAAAGCATTCTGAGCAAACCATGCCAAGCAAGCCATCAAGCAGCACTCCTCCATGACATCATCAGTTCCTTCATCCTTATTCTTGCCCCGGCTTCCCTCCATGGTAGACTGTGAACCTCGAAGTGTAAGTGAACTAAACCCTTTTCTCTCCAAATTGCCTTTGATCATGGTGTTTTATCACAGCAATAGAAACCTAATTAAGACAGATTGAACTCGAGTTGTGAGGCTTGGTGGCAAGTACTTTCACCCACTTAGACATCTCATCGGCCCCAAAAGCTATTTTAAATTTCTTTAGGCAACTTTTTTTTTCATATAACTTGTAGATATGTGAAAAGAATTATAGGTAGGCTACAGAGATGGCTCCATGATTAAGCAGAGATGGCTGCTCTTCCAGAGGACATGGGTTTGATTTCCTGCACCCACATGGCTGCTCACAACTGTCTGTATCCAGTTCCAGGGGATCCAGTGCCTACCTCTGGGATCCATGGAGATACAGCATGCATGTTGTACACAGACATACATACAGGCAAAGTGTCCATATACGTAAAATAGATTTTCTCAAAGAGTAATAGAGAAAATAGATTGATCAGTATATTTATAAAACGTTGTCTCCTAGTCTCAATCCTTTGAGTTACTGTTTTAAAAACCTTTTGTTATTGAGGTAATTATAGATTCATATACAATTGTAAGAATTATAAAAAGCATTTGCCCAGTTTCCCCTGGTGCTAATGTCTGATAAAACTATAGGATATCACCATCAAGAAATTAATAGTGATAGTCCATTTTGTCAAGATTCCCCAGTTGTCTCCATATTGAGTTCTAAACAATTTTATGTATATTAATCTGCCCTCTTCTCCAGAGGCAAGATCCAGAACAGGATCTAATAACGGGAAGATTTATTGAATTCTTCCAAACTGCACTTACTTCCCCAACCCCTGGCAGCCACTGACTTTTACAAAATGTAATTATTTAAGCTGTTAGGCCTGTCGCTCAGAGCACTCACCAGGTAAGTGCAACACCCTGGATTCTCCCCAGCACTGGACAGTAAATAAAAGGGTTAGAGTGAGGCCATCAAGGATGCATTCTGCCACTGTGACAACCAACAAGCTGACCTACTGCTGGGTCAGCTCCGCGGAGCTCCCATGACTAATACAGATTCAGAGAAGTGCCTAGTGAAGAAAATCCAGGGACCTATCATTTTGATTGAGACAGTCTTTTCTCACTGTGTAGACTAGCCTAGTCTCCAACTCACAGAGATTCCCCTGCTCTGCCATACCACCATACCTGGTGCAATAACTTAATAAAAGGCTGGTATTTTGCTTACTCTCTGTCCCTGACTGCTCACCTCAGCAGTTGCTATGGTAACAGCTTGTGCTTCTGGGACAGCTTGGTGCTAAACCATGCAATGTAATGCAGGTTTTCACAAAAAACATGACTGTGTGTACTGACGTGTTTGTTCCTTGAGTCAATTCAGATTTGTCTTTGTTTTGCTTCATCTAGGCTGTAGCAACTTCAAATGGGCAGTTTTAGGTTTTTCAAAGGTGACAGAGCTGGAGATGAAGTTAAGACAAACAAGACAAGTTATCACTGCATAGGCAGAGTCCAGATTAAGGTTTGCATCTATGTGTGTATGTGTCTTAGCTAGGGTTTCTACTGCTGTGAAAAGACTCCGTGACCACAGCAACTCTTACAAAGGAAAACATTTCATTGGGGCGGCTTACACTTTCAGAGGTTTAGTCCATTATCATGATGTTGCGACATGGTAGTGTGCAGACAGACATGGTGCTGCAGCTGAGAGTCCTACATCTTGATTTGCTGGTAACAGGGAGTGAACTGAGTGAGACACTGGGTGGTATCTTGAGCATAGGAGACCTCAAAGCCCACTGCCACAGTGGCACACTTCCTCCAACAAGACCACCTACTCCAACAAAGCCGCACCTCCTAATAGTGCCTCTCCCTTTGAGGACCGTTTTCTTTCAAACCACCACAGTATGTATACATAAGTATAGGACAGAAAAGAATACTATGAGAGGGAGGAAAGGGTTAATGGGATGCATGGGACTTTCCATGACAGTAAAAGGGAGTGTGAGTTAGAGGCTGGGGACCATGGTGGGAGTCGGAAGAGGGATATGAATAGAACAAAGTTATAAGGACATGTGTGGAAGTACCTTAGGAAACTGACTTATTTTTACGCTGATAATGCAAATTTAATGTTTTACAGAAGTACTTGAGCAAACAGCAAAGAGCCTGGGACAGAAAGTCAGAAGATGGGATGGAATGGGGGTTAGGGTTCCCTTTAGACCCTACTGGGTCAGCTTTCAACTGGAAGAGGAGGAGGAGAAATGAGGAAGAAAACAAAACTTGAAGAAGAAACTGGAAAGTGCCAGGCAGCATCTGGGTATAACTTTCGCACTTTGTTCGGACCCAAGTAGGAAGTGGGGCGAGACATAGGGTGTTAGCAGGTCCTGGCTGTTGTGAGCAGATTTTCTTTCTTTTTTCTTTTTTCTTTTTTTAACTTTTATTGATTCTTTGTGGATTTCACATCATGCGTTCCCATCCCACTTATCTCCCTGTCCCCTCACATCTGCCCCCTGCCCTTGCAGCCCCCACTCCAAAATCAAAACCAAATTTAAAAAGAAAAACCGAAAACCAAACAAAGTAAAGAAACAAAACAAAAGCAAAAACAACAATAACATAAAATAACAAAAGAATCTTGTGAAAGCTGTAGTGTGGTACACTGAGACACAGTTTACCCTTTGGTCCGATCATGTTTACTTGTTCATCGCCACGAGTCATTGGTCTGGCTGGAGGCCTCTGGTTTCTGCGACACCACCGATAATGGACTCTCACGGGAACTCCTCTTGGATATCCTGTGTCATGGAGATCCTGCAGCTTTGGGTCTGTAGGTTCATCCCCTTCACATTCTAAGCAGATTATTCCAGAAGTTTGGTTTCTAGGCCTGGTTGCCTCGGACTGAGGCCAGAGTTCTGTCATGTAGACTCCAGTCGCTTGGAGTCGCTTCCGGTCTGGCTGCTGTGCTTCTGTGTCCCACTCAGAGTGTAATGTTAGTGTGAGTGTGTGTGCATGTGTCTGTCTGTCTGTCTGTCTGCAGGTTCACTGGGAGATGAAATCAGTTTGGTGCCAAGTGTCTTCCACAATCATTCTTGTTTTCTTGAAACAGTTTCTCACTGAACCTGCAGCCTAGCCAATTTAGACTTGGTAGCCAGTGAGTCCTGAGGATTCTCCTAATCTCTGTCTCCTTGGCGCTAGCTAGCATTTCGTTATTGTTGTTGTTATTTGTTTGTTTGTTTTAGGTGAGTGCTGTGGATCAAACATAGGTCATCATGCTTGCATGACAAGCATATTATGAACTGGGCCATCTCCCCAACCTTAGGGATAATAACTCTACTCTTGAGCCAGGAAAAGTTAGAGCTAAATATAATTTCAAGAGCAGCCATTAAAAGAATGCATATGTAGGTTCTAAAATGCGGTACTCACAAGTATTTAATCTTAAAACAGAGCGAAGCACAGAGAGAGAGAGAGAGAGAGAGAGACAGAGAGACAGAGAGACAGAGAGACAGAGAGACAGAGAGACAGAGAGAGAACAATAACAAAAAGGCAACTTTAATTCAACACCATCACTAATAACATCTCAGCACCAGAGGACCAGGGTCCTGGTAAATTTCTAATGTAAAGGTCCAGACAGCAACTATTTTGGGCATTCGGGCCATAAAGGCCATCCAAGCTGGCATGCATTCTGCTGGAACTGGTCAGATAATACACAGGTGGATAGGTGTGCCTGTGTCCCGCAAACTCACAGGGACAAGTGGCAGGTCAGGACAGCCCACAGCCTGTGCTTTGCTGCCCTTCCTGTTGCGATCTAGGTTTCCTTTTGTTTACAAATGAGGCGACGTTTGTTCCAACCACAAGTCATTTCTGAATGTGGAACTTTATATCCAAGCCCAGCCTTCTGATGAGAACTTGGGCATGTAATCTACAGGATGCTAACTCATCACAGCTTCTTAATAGACTTTGACCCCTGGCCCTCTTGCTGAAGAAGAGAATGCAATGGAAAAGGGTCTCCCTCTCTTCCAGTGTAAGCAGGCCTTCTTTCTAAGGCAAGCCACCCAAGGCTAGAAAGCAGCCTGCAGTGGTGAAAGCTGGCTGGAGGGTGAAGTTGGTGCCAGTGTGGGTGGCAGTCCATCTTACTGAACTGTGTGGAGTAAAGAATACATTTCCATCTCATCTCGGGGCTCCCACGCCAGATCATAGCACTGAAGATAATCGCAATATTAGCTGAACAGCTCTGGAGTCAGAAGATGATAACAGAGTCTAGCCTCGGGCTCAAGAGATCACAAGGTCTGGCAAAGCCAACAAAATGATAACTGGTACACAAAATGCTTTAATTCCCCCCCCACCCCCATGTAGCCTGCACCCTATACACATGTATTCATGTCACAGTACTTCAGTGTTA